TTGGCTTGCTTTTCACGCTCTTTCCTCTCCTTATTCTCTTTGACTAAGGCGGCCATCTTTTCTTGCTGCGCAGTGGTGTAGGGGCTAGTCTCCTTCCCACTACGGGTCTCAACCATGGTGATAAGTGTACAACCGGGTTAGTGCTTCCAAACCTCACCACGTAGACGTCAACCCCTGACTGACAGACCTACTGACTCAATCTAAGACTCACAGAATCCTGACAGGGATCCTATCAACTATGGTCTCTAGCCTAGACCTACACTATGGCTGTCACTACTGAACCAGTGGTTGATCAAGAGGCATTTAAGGAGATCCCCCGTAACTCCTCAAGAATTCTTTAACGTCGCAGACAGGACGACATGATCATTTTGGTTATGCCTGTGCTCTCAGCCCACAACTCAGCCTTTCCGGCCTACTGTGCCACACCGAGCAGCCCGCCGGTCTGTACCGGTCCTTGGGAGGGTTCGTATCCCCCGGGACAGTCGAGTCGTCAGACACAGATCATCAGCCTTACTTGGTCTGGTAAGGGAGTGGTTGCAACAGGCCCTCAACACTTAAAGACGGCCTCCGTTTCAGCCTGCAGCTCAGAGTTCGGACCCTCTACACTGAAATTGAGCAGATCTGTCGGACAGTACCGGTCATTGGGCTAGACAAGTTGTTTAATGAGCGCTCGCCGCTCATGCCCAGGTCTCCAGATACCAGAGTAGAGATTGGTCCTACTAAGTCTCGTGCAGGTTTGGCAGCAAGGCCCTATCCTTCATCCACAGAGTTCTATGACCTAGGACATAAGAGACTCAATGCAGAAAGAATAGACATACAGACTATACTCAGCAAGAACCAAGGGGTATGTGCACATCCATAGGGCAAGGGGCAGGCTAAGGGCTTGGCGAGATGTTACCAACTCCAGCTTGGTCAAAGTCTTGGTCAACGCCTTGGTCAACGGCCTTGGTCAACTCCGGTCAACGCTGCTATGACCCTCCGTCAACTTCGGTCAACTCCGGTCAACGCCTCCGGTCAACCCTTCCGGTCAACTCCCCGGTCAGCTATGGCTGTCGGCACTTCTTCCTCGAAAATCCCCTTCTTCTTCCTTACCTCCCTCGCCGCCTTTCCCC